CGGGGTACAGGGGCCCCCCCTTATAAACACTCTTTCTTCCCCTTTGGAAAAATTTTTTTCACAAAAAAAAAAAAGAAGATTTACTGTTTTTTGCAGGGCTATTGCTTATTGTAATAATTGTAAAAAATAATGTCAATCCATTCCTTTACTCCGTATGGGAATTTTGGGCTGGCAGGCGGACAGGTATTTTTTACGGTGACTTTATTTGTTTTTTCTCTTTAGCTTCACTAAAAAATTTGAACTTTTCGCCCACTTGGGGTGCAATTTCAAGGTAATTTTTGTTTAGAAAGCAATCAAAAACATATCAAAATTTTTGTAAAATATCTTTCATTCTAACAATGAGACCGAAAAAAGAGAATTTAACCCTAACAAAACCCTACAAAAAAAAAACCGCTAAACGGGGCCCCTAATGGCTGAGAAGTGAAAATCCCCTACTTATGGTCGATTTTTTTTTTCATTTTTGGGGTACGTGAAAAAAGGTATCTTTTCCCCTCATTTCAATTTTCCCCAAATTTGAATAAGATAACCCCAAAAAACAACTGAGAAAAAAATATGTAAAAAAAAATAATAATAATAATATAATAATAATAATAATAAAAAAATAATAATAATAATATCTTTATTTTCCCGACGTTTCCCTGTACAAGGTTACAGGCCAAACTGACTTTATGACATATACTGTATAGAAAAAGGGACTTGTTATGTGAGTATTCACCCACACATTGCCCCAGACTACATCTCCACTGCCTCCACCTTCTCCTCGCTGAAATTCATCACCCACGTTTTCACACCCAATAAGAGCTTGGTAAAACTAACTCTCATACATTCCCCTTTGCCTCCAAGGACAAAGTTTTTTGTCTCCACAGACTCCTAATGCACCACCACCCTTTTTCCCCATAAATTCTAGATTCACCTCATTTTTCATAGACCCATCCGCTGACACTCCCTCCCAAATATCTGAATACTTCACCTCCCCCATACTCTCTCCCCCCAATCTGATATTCAATTTTTCATAAACCAAATCTTTTTTTTATCCTCATAAACCTTCTCTTTCCTTATCCCCTTTAAAATTTTCTTTTTTGCACACCCTCCCAAATTCATCCCCAATCCTGCAACCTCTTCAAAATCCCCCCAAGAGCACAGTGTCCATCAGCAAAACAGCTGTGACAACTCCCACTTTTGTGTGATTCTTTATTTTTTAACTCCACGCCTCTTCCAAGACCCCGATTTACTTCTTTAAAACCCCCCTCTATAAAATTTTAAAACAACCCGGGTGACACACACATCCTTGTCTAAGGCCTACTTTTACGGGGAAAAAATTTCCCTCTTTCCTACATACTTAACTTGAGCCTCACTATCCTCGAAAAACTCTTAAATCTTTCAGTAACCTCCCCTCCACACCATACATTTGCAACATCTGCCAAATTGCCCCCCTATCCACCCTGTCTACCCCTTTTCCAAATCCATAATCAAAAAGACCTTTTTAGCCTTATCAAATACGTTCACTTATATGTTTCACTGTAACACCGGGTCCACACACCCCCTACCTTTCCTAAAGCCCCTTTTTTTCACTGCTATCCTATTCCCTCCGTTTTACTTTTAATTCTTTCAATTATAACTCTACCATCACTTTCCCAGGTACATCAACAGACTTATCCCCCCATAATTTTTTCACTCTCTTTATCCCCCCTTTTCTTTATACAAAGGAACTATGCATCTCCTCCAATCCCGGTACCTTCCCTTTCCATAACATTTTTTAAACAAATTTCACCCCCCACTCCAAAACTAATCCCCACCTGCTTTTAAAAATTTCTATCTTTTTCCCTCAATCCCGGGTGCCTTACCCCTTTCATTTTACCTACGCCTCAGAACTTCCCCCACACTCACAAAAGGGTCTTCCCACTCCAAGAGTTTTTCCTCCTTGCCCTATACACAAATCAAGCTTCCCTATTTCACAACATTTAAAATTCCCCAAAAAATTCCCTCCATCTTCCCAAAACCTCTAAATCCCATTTTAAAAACTCTCCCCCTCCTATTTTTAACTGACAAAACCCTTTGTTCCTAGGCTTTCTTAACTTTTAATCTCACTCCCAAAAATTTTCTTATTTTCAACAAAATTTTTGATAACATCTCACCCACTCCTCATTTTCTCTCTTTTTTACATTGCTTCCCCCCCCAAGAAAATTAGGTCAGTGTCCCAGGATAACACCCACACCTAGTCGACTAACAACCAGGTACCCATTTACTGAGGGTAAACATAGACCAACAGTGTAAAGAAACACGCCTAATGTATCTACCCTGGCGGGAATCGAATATTTACCAAAAATCTATCTGGCTAACCCATAGCCAGTACTAAAAATAAGCCACGTGACATTTTCGTGGGGTTATAAGAACATAATAAGAATTGTAGGAACACCGCAAAGGCCCTATTGGCCCATACGAGCAGGTCCTTATCCTAGGTTCTCTAGCATATAAGGCGCATTGATGATAAAACTATAGAGAGAATTAAATAGCTTATTGTTTCAAGTTTTATGTGAGAACGAGTGTATATCATAGTTAACCCTGTGCTATACTCCGTTTTCTCTAATATAAGCCCCCAAGACAAGGATAGGAGAATGGTACACCTACCATCCGACTTACGACCTGCTCGACTTACGACCACTCGACTTGCAACCATGTTTTTTTTTGCCAAATTTCTGGGAAATAAACAACTATTTGTGTTGTACACAGTGTTTATCCTAAACCTTACGGTATAAAATACAGTGCTAACAGCATAAAAAGTAAAGTAAAACATGAAATATCAAAGTAAAACAATAAAATGAAGTCATTACAAAAATGTGAGGTTGATATTCAGTAGTAAAGTTCGACTTACGACCATTCACTTACGACCGGTTTCTCGGTAACCGAACTCGGTCGTAAGTCGGATGGTAGGTGTATTTGTTTACCATATCCTCTTCATAACTCTGTCGAACTGCTCGGTGTTATGCCAAATATTATTCATTCTGGAGTATTTAACATGTTTTATGTTATTTATATTGTTTATTATGTCATATTAGATCAATTGTGATAGGCAAATAAGCTGAGGTAGGTTGTTGCCATTAGTGTAGCGTAATAAAATTTTTTTTTAAAGCAATATACATCTACCTGCTTCTTGAGACTGATCTCATGGCAACCTGCCAGAGTGGCTTGTTCAAGGCCACCTTAACTTTAATGGATAATGTACTATTGTGTAGGTGCTTTACATAATGAGAAGCATTTCTTTTATTCATTGGAACCATGGGTAGGGCTAAAAGTAAGCAGGTTAAAACAATAAATGGAGTAAAACAAATTGGAATGACTTATGCAGCAAGTAGCGCCACCAAACAGTACCAGCAGGTTGGTGTGGCGACCCTGGAAATTTGAAATTATGCTAGCCAAAATTAGTGCCGAATAACTGAAGGAACCGAATAACTGATTGCCTGATTTGTGATGGCAGACCTGTATTAGATCAATTTTGATAGGTAAATAAGTTGTAGTGTTGATATTAGCACATTTCCCTGCATCTTAAGACTGAGCTCATGGCAACAGACAGTGGCTTCAAAGCCACCTTATCTTTTATGGACAATGTACTGTGTATGTGCTTTACAAAATGAGAATTATTTCTTTTATTTATTGGAACCATGTCTAGGAGCAAAAGCAAGCAGCTTACAACAATAAATGGAGAAAAAGAAACTGGAATGGCTTATGCAGCAAGTAGTGCCACCAAACAGTAGTAGCAGGTTGGTGTGGTGACCCTGGAAATTTGAAATTATGCTAGCCAAAATTAGTGTTGGACTACTGATGGAACCGGATGATTGATTGCCGGATTAGTGATGGCCAACCTGTAATATTACCTTTGACTTACGTCATTTGTTAGCATATGGAAACACTCTGATGCTACATTTATATTATAATGAAAATTAATGTCAAAATGCAAAATAGTCATACTACCTTATTCATGGTTTACCTGGTTACCTGGAGTTTACCTGGAAAGAGTTCTGGGGGTCAACGCCCCTGCGGCCCGGTCTGTGACCAGGCCTCATGGTGGATCAGGGCCTGATCAACCAGGCTGTTACTGCTGGCATCAACAACTCATGCACTGACAGACCAAGGATCATTCCCTGGCATGGGTGAAGCATTGGGTATGTTTCTTTATACCTCCTGCCCCTGTTCACCTACCTGGAGTTTACCTGGAGAGAGTTCCGGGGGTCAACGCCCCCACGGCCCGGTCTGTGACCAGGCCTCCTGGTGGATCAGAGCCTGATCAACCAGGCTGTTGCTGCTGGCTGCACGCAAACCAACGTACGAGCCACAGCCCGGCTGTGGTAAGTAGGTACCTACATGTTAGTCAACTGTTGTGGTTTGCATACTGGGGGGTCAATTAAAGTACCCTAGTAAAAATAAGATCAAAAGTCCCCAATGATGCACAAATGCTGTTTTTTTGGGTTATCCTGCATTACAATCCCTCTGTGTCAATAATCATACCAATTTCTTATCCTTCTCAAGTTAGGATTCAGTGAGCGTAGCTCTCACACATTGCCATAATACCATATACATGTACAAGTTGTGGACCTACAAACCAAGCTCACAGACAGCAGGCAGTGAGACCCCATGGGAAATAAGTTACATTTAATTCTGTGGGTTATTCCAAGTTTTACAAGAAGAAATTTAAGCTACGTATGCATCACGCAAAACTGATATTACATATATTTCTAATCCAAAATTCTGTACTAGTATTGAAGTATATACATAGTTTGTTGGTACATACTAGTTTTAATCTGCAAGAATTACTATGGATAACAAGAGACTCTACATAGAATGTATTTTACAAAAAAATTAATCACAGGAGTGGACTCTACACCCTGTATTCCTTGGAAATTAATTTTTTGTTTTTATTATTATTATTATTATTATTATTATTATTATTATTATTATTATTATTATTATGATTATTATTATTATTAATTATGTAGTTTTTTATTTTCAGTGGAGAGTGACTCTCATGAGGACAGCAAGAAAATTTAGTCTCTGTGACAAGTATTCCACATTCATCACCACCACCCATTACATCTATGATCTTTTTTACAATAAGAAAGCAATCAGCTGTGGTAAGCAATAAGCTAAAAGCAATATAAATGTTAAATTTATTCTATGTGCCATTACTTTTAATATAGCATATTTATTATTATGTTTTAAGATGATTATGGTGTGAAGTTTAGTGGTGAGAGTTTCAGCTGGTCACATGCTGTCTTTACAAAGTTATTCTCTTGACTTTGCAGAAATTATTTCTGAGAACTGTTTCAGTCTCATCCAAGTGTTTAATATTGATGAGACAAGGTTATGTTGGGAATGCATGCCATCAAAATTGTACATTGGCAAAAATAAAAACCTTTTGCACTTGGTTTCAAGGCATCTAAGGATTCCTTAACCCTTAAACTGTCCAAACATAGATTTATGTTTGCATGCATAGCTCTCCAAACGTAGATCAACGTTTTATTTTTCATTCCTTCAAATTTGGCACAATAGGCTTGAGTCACCTATACATGAAAGAATGGGTCTGTGCACTCAGTGTGCGCACTATGAAAAAAAATCTGGGAGCACTTAGTACCTTGTGGGAGCACCAGTTCAATTGAGTGCCAGCTAGAGCAAATAGCGTGGCAAACACCAGGGATTCACTGATGCCATGTCGCATTAACACTCTCATTTTAAGAGGAAAGTAAAAATAGGTTAGATAAATATATAAGTGAGTGTGGGTGGGTGTGAATTGGACCTGACTAGCTTGTGCTACCAGGTCTGATGTCATGCTCCTTCCTTCAATGGATATGACCTGACTAGGTGGGTCATTGGTCTAAGCTGGGGGGGGGGTGACATGTACCTGCCTTGCATGGGCCAGTAGGCCTGCTGCAGTGTTCCTTGTTTCTTATGTTCTTATGTATTCGGCAGGCTGGTCGGCTGGCTGTCTCTGGCTGTCTCTCTGTCTATATCTATCTGTCTATATCTTTGTCTATATCTATCTGTCTATATCTCTGTCTATATCTATCTGTCTATATCTCTGTCTATATCTATCTGTCTATATCTCTGTCTGTATCTATCTGTCTATATCTCTGTCTATCTGTATCTCTGTCTCACATGTACTCATAAGTACAGTTATTATACATAGTGTAAATTACCTAGGATAATCCAAAAATTCCAGGCAAAGATAGACAGATAGATTGACAGACAGACAGATAGACAGAAACATGTTTGTGAAAACAAAGCCAGGGTTCCCCCGATCACCCATTTATGAAATGTCACCGAACTGATAACAGATGTCATAACATGATTCTTCAAGGAGTGCGATATACACATACTCCAGGCAGATAGAAAGACAGATAAGCAGAGACAGACAGACAGGCAGGCAGGCAGGCAGATAGACAGATAGACAGGCAGATAGACAGACAGACAGATAGATAGACATAAATAGACAGAGAGACAAGGCATGTTTGTGTGTAACAGTGATAACAAATACAGCGAGGGTTAGCTGCAGCAGTGGGCATTTATCAAATGGCTGTCAACAGTATAGGGATGCCTTTCATAACACCATGCTTCAAGGTATACGCCAGGGTATCTAAAACATTGTTGGGATCTATAAATACTTTGTATATATTTTTAGACAATAGTAAATAACCCAAGCAGGTGTAAAAGTTCACCTGTCAATGTGATTGTGACTCTTTGAGTACTATTTCAGTACCTAATATTAGTGTCAGAACAAAGATTGGCTATGAAATTACAAGAACTATTATAAATTGTAATTTTCAGAACATAAAAAATATATAAATTAAAATAAAAATGAGAAAAAAAGGTATATCGGTAACACTTCTGCAAGCGGCAGGAGTTGATGTTGACGACAGGCAAGCATCCAGAGCCAACTTCATGGTCTTATATCTCGGTAAGTACTGACCCTAAAATGTTTTTTTTAATCCTATAACATGTAGAAAAATGTGCTCTTCATTTTAAAAGAATTTTTTTTTTTATTTTTCAAAATATTCGGAGTGCCACCCGAGTGAACGTAGATCTATGTTTGGACAGTTTAAGGGTTAAACTTGCTTATATAAGCAAATTTAGTAAATCAGGAAAAACCAAGCTGCTGCTCACAGGCTGCATGTGGCCCTTCTAGGAAATGGATGTGGCCCTCACATGAAATTATAAATTCACTTTTATGTAGGCTCCACATTGCACTGTCAACAAAACCATGCAACCCTCATCACATATTTGAGCATCAAATGTAGCAGACTTGTGTAGGAAGGTTGAGGACCACTGCAGTAAATTATTTTGAGTGCAAGGATACGCTAGTGTGTAGGGCAGACAGAGAATCCCCTTACTTTAATCCTTCGAGTGGCCATCACATAGATCTGCATTTATTGATGCCAGGGTCACTCACATTGATCTACATTTTCAGCACAGCTCCCTCAGATAAGTTGAATGGTAACTTTTGGCCTAGATGTGAGAGCCTAACATGGCCGACGCGGCAGGTTGTGTAGCGGGCTAGCTGCGGGATTTTCAAGGATAGCTCTTGGTCAAAGAGGCTGACCAGGTCCCTACTTAACAGAACTCAGTGTGAATGCTTTGAGAAGATACCAGAGCAGCGAACGGACTTCCCAGTGCATCGTTTCAGCGTAAATAGTTGAAGTGTTGTGCATTATTATTATTATAATCAAGGGGGAAGCGCTAAACCCGGAGGATTATACAGCGCCTGGGGGGGGATATGTGGAAGGCATTCAGGCTTAATTCGGGGAACTGGAGCACAGATCCAATTCCCTAAATCAAGAGCCCCTCACCAACATCAAGGAACCTTCCTTGAGGGGAAAGTGTTGTGCAGAAGGTTTGGTGTTGTTGAGTCAGGACCAGTCAGCGCCTCCCCCCCTCTCCGCTGGGGGGGAGGGGGAGGGCGTGTGTAGTAAACAGTGACCCTCTCATAACGCCTCGCCCCTGCCCGTCTCCCCCGCCTCACCCACCCAACTCCCAGCGCCATCCCATCTATAGAGGGTACTTCTCCCCTAACCCACGATGTCAGCGATGGCACTGCAGGGAGTGCCGGGCTCACAGGAACTTCCACTACAGGAACAGCATCGTGGAGTTCGACCGCGAGGCAGCTGTCAGGTGTGCCACAGGCAGTGTGTACTCAGTTCCTCAAGCTTCAACATCTGTGCACACGAGGGCCTGGGATCTTCAGTCAACTTGGCGTCCACCAGGACGTTGCCATGTCCCTTGGACAGCTCTCCATCGGGCTGCTAACGGAGCCACTGGCTTCTTGGACCTCTTGGGGAGGGTCGATGGTGCTCGTGCAAGCAGCAGATCCCGGGGCAACTTGCTGCTGTTTGCAATGGCTGTCTGCCGAGGAGAGACAGGCACCTAGCAACATCTGTTGTTGGGGCAATGGATGAATTCCCTGCTATGTTTGTTAACGCTCATTACTCTGTAATTTGTCTATGATTGTAATCATGTGATAACGTGTTTATCATTCATTACCTTTGAAACTTGTCATGATCTTGACCAGCTCTACCTGGAGCTCATTACCTTTGTAAATTCTCATGATTAATGTGTTTATGATTCATTACCTTTGCAATTATTCATGAGTGTGACCAGCTCTACCTGGAGCTCATTACCTTTGTAACTTGGTCATGATTATGACCAGATGTAGTTCATTACCTTTGTAACTTGCTCAGCTATCAAAACTTTGGAGTCCAGTCCCTGGACCAATTATGTACCTCTGTAATCTTTTGACTACCGCCCACAGGATGGGTATGGGTTGCATAATAAACATATTAAACTAAACTGAACTGATGTGAGAGAATGGATCTTTGCAATGAGTATAAAAAAAAATCCTGTCCCATCAAGTGCAGGATGAGAAAAACAAAACCATGAACAATCATTCCTAGTTGTATTTTATTAGTTGATAAATAGGGTAAATCAAAAGGAGCATTTTTTTTATTATTATTATTATCACACTGGCTGGTTCCCACCAAGGCAGGGTGGCCCGAAAAAGAAAAACTTTCACCATCATTCACTCCATCACTGTCTTGCCAGAAGGGTGCTTTACACTATGTTGCAGTTTAAAAACTGTAGTGTAAAGCACCCTTCTGGCAAGACAGTGATGGAGTGAATGATGGTGAAAGTTTTTCTTTTTCGGGCCACCCTGCCTTGGTGGGAACCAGCCAGTGTGATAATAATAATAATAAAAAAAAAACAGGAGCAGTGGAATTAAAATAGGACTCAAACTGGGTAGAAATCACTAGTGTGTAATTGCGACCAGTCTACTAACTTTCTGCCTGCTTAATTCCACAAGTTTTCCATAAAATTTTGTACTTTTGGTGTATTACCTTCAAAAAAAAATTCTCTACCATTTTACAGGAAAAAATTCTCTTTTTACAGTGCGGTTACTGAGAGCAATATTAATTTCAGGGGTCTGGACAGTGAAAGGGTTAAAATGGTTAAAACAAAACTTGTTCTCCAATTGTTTAGTAGTCTGTGGCCACTTTTATTGAATGGTTCAAGCATTATTTTATTCCTGTAGCAAACATAATTGGCCATAAAAATTGTTGCATTCAAGGTTCTCCTCATTCTTGATAATTCCTGTACATAGTCATCTTCCAATCTTACAGTCTGTAGACCCAAATGTGTAGGCTTCTTTTACCACAGGTACAATATCTTTAATACAGCCACTCAATCAAGGAAAAATTCTGCATCATTCACATCAACACAAGAAGCACAGCAGCCATCCACTTCAGGCCACTTGGGCCCCATCAACCCACTGTACACCCTTCCATTTCAACAAGCAACACCATCTAGTATGCAAGGAAAAAATAATTTCAATTAATGTACACCTGGTAAACTGTTAAAAAATTGGTCAATTTTTTACTGTGTCTGAAAATTAACACTGTTTTTCCTGCATGTTATACACTTCACATATATAAATATCTTTTGCATATGGTATCACTTTCCAGGTAACTTATTTTATTCAGTTTTAGATATGCACTGGTTGTGACCTGAAAAGAATGATAAATATATATACCTCCACGTACACAACTTTGCCTCCTTCCAGCCTTTCATAGGCCAAATCCTACTTTGCCTTCATTCCTCTACAGATTCATACACCCTCCAAGTCATCCTATTTTGCTCCATCCTCTAAATGTCCAAGCCTCCTCAGGAACCCCTTCTTATATTCTTCAAACTATGAATTCTCTGCATAATATTTACACCACACATTGCCTTCAGACACATCTCCACTGTTTCTAGCTTTCTCCTTGCTGCAACATTCACATTATTAGTAGTAGTACTAGTTGTATTATTATTAGTTGTATTATTATTATTATTATTATTATTTTTTTTTTTTTTTCAACAAGTTGGCCGTCTCCCACCGAGGCAGGGTGACCCAAAAAAGAAAGAAAATCCCCAAAAAGAAAATGCTTTCATCATCATTCAACACTTTCACCACACTCACACATAATCACTGTTTTTGCAGAGGTGCTCAGAATACAACAGTTTAGAAGCATATACGTATAAAGATACACAACATATCCCTCCAAACTGCCAATATCCCAAACCCCTCCTTTAAAGTGCAGGCATTGTACTTCCCATTTCCAGGACTCAAGTCCGACTATATGAAAATAAACCGGTTTCCCTGAATCCCTCGCTAAATATTACCCTGCTCACACTCCAACAGATCGTCAGGTCCCAAGTATCATTCGTCTCCATTCACTCCTATCTAACACGCTCATGCACGCTTGCTGGAAGTCCAAGCCCCTTGCCCATAAAACCTCCTTTACCCCCTCTCTCCAACCCTTTCGAGGACGACCCCTACCCCGCCTTCCTTCCCCTATAGATTTATATGCTTTCCATGTCATTCTACTTTGATCCATTCTCTCTAAATGACTAAACCACCTCAACAACCCCTCTTCTGCCCTCTGACTAATACTTTTATTAACTCCACACCTTTTCCTAATTTCCACACTCCGAATTTTCATCATAATATTTACACCACACATTGCCCTTAGACAGGACATCTCCACTGCCTCCAACCGTCTCCTCGCTGCTACATTTACCACCCAAGCTTCACACCCATATAAGAGTGTTGGTACTACTATACTTTCATACATTCCCTTCTTTGCCTCCATAGATAACGCTTTTTGACTCCTCATATACCTCAATGCACCACTCACATTTTTTCCCTCATCAATTCTATGATTAACCTCATCCTTCATAAATCCATCCGCCGACACGTCAACTCCCAAGTATCTGAAAACATTTACTTCTTCCATACTCCTCCTCCCCAATTTGATATCCAATTTTTCTTTATCTAAATCATTTGATACCCTCATCACCTTACTCTTTTCTATGTTCACTTTCAACTTTCTACCTTTACACACATTCCCAAACTCATCCACTAACCTTTGCAATTTTTCTTTAGAATCTCCCATAAACACAGTATCATCAGCAAAAAGTAACTGTGTTAATTCCCATTTTGAATTTAATTCCCCATAATTTAATCCCACCCCCTTCCCGAACACCCTAGCATTTACTTCTTTTACAACCCCATCTATAAATATATTAAACAACCATGGTGACATTACACATCCCTGTCTAAGACCTACTTTTACCGGGAAGTAGTCTCCCTCTCTTCTACACACCCTAACCTGAGCCTCACTATCCTCATAAAAACTCTTTACAGCATTTAGTAACTTACCACCTATTCCATATACTTGCAACATCTGCCACATTTCTCCCCTATCCACTCTATCATATGCCTTTTCTAAATCCATAAATGCAATAAAAACTTCCCTACCTTTATCTAAATACTGTTCACATATATGCTTCAATGTAAACACTTGATCTACACATCCCCTACCCACTCTGAAACCTCCTTGCTCATCTGCAATCCTACATTCTGTCTTACCTCTAATTCTTTCAATTATAACCCTACCATACACTTTTCCTGGCATACTCAATAAACTTATTCCTCTATAATTTTTACAATCTCTTTTGTCCCCTTTCCCTTTTTATAAAGGGACTATACATGCTCTCCGCCAATCCCTAGGTACCTTCCCCTCTTTCATACATTTATTAAACAAAAGTACCAACCACTCCAACACTATATCCCCCCCTGCTTTTAACATTTCTGTCATGATCCCTCAGTTCCAGCTGCTTTACTGCCTTTCATTCTAGTAATGCCTCGTACCTCCCCACACTTACATTTGCCTTTTTCACTCCTAAAAGGGGGTATACCCCTGCCCAGTGCATGAAATTCCACCTCCCTTTTTTCCCCAAACATTTAAAAGTTCCTAAAATATTCTCCCATCTACCTAATACCCCCCTCTCCCCTTTACTAACCCCCCTACTCGTTTTTAATACAAATCCTACTTTCCCTAGGCTTTCTTAATTTTTTTAAACTCACCCCCCAAAATTTTTTTTTTTTTATTAAATTTCTTGACAGTGCCTCCCCTCTACATCTGCTCCCTTTTGCACTCTCTCACCACTTTCTTCCCTTTCTTTTACTGCCCTATACTCTGCTTTTCTTATAACACTTCTGTTTGTAAAAACCTCTCAAAGCTAACTTTTTCTCTTTTATAACCCTTTTACTTATTTTCCCACCAATCACTCCTTTTTCCACTGCCCCCCCCCCCTTAAAACCACAAACTTCTCCCCCACATTCTAAACTGCTTTTTTAAAAAAATTTTCCAAACCCCTCTTCAACCCCCCCACTACTATCTTTGCACTAGCCCACCCTTTCTGCAAATAGTCGCTTTTATCTTTCGCCCAAATTTTCCCTTAGTTTTTTTTTTCCTTTATTTTTTGTTGTTCCCATTTTTTTTTTTTTTATTAAAGTGTACATTTTTTGTGTTTTTTCAGTTGCCCCCTAAAAACATGAATCCTGGACCCTCCCCCTAAACCCTTTTATCCACCAATACTAATCTAACAAACTACTTTCATTTCGTGCTACTCTACCTTTTTATTTTTTATCCTCTTTTTCATAAAATATGTATTATTAACCAAAATTTTTTTCTACCTAGCTCAATTAAGGCTCCCATTTTTCATTTACCCCTGGACCCCAAAATTTACCTACTACTCCCTCCATAAAAATTTTTACCCACTTTGCATTGAAATCCCCCAAACCCCCATTCTTCACACTTGATTAAAACTCCCCACGCATTCATCAACATTTCCCAATCTCTCTCTCTCCTCTACACTTCTTTCTCCTCCGGTTCATACACCTTACTATAAACCCCCTTTTTTTACATCCAATCTTTTTTTTACTCCACATAACCCTTTAATTAATACATTTATAGTCCCTCTTTTCCTGCCATAGCTTATCCTTCAACATTATTGCTACTCCTTCTTTAGCTCTAACTCTATTTGAAACCCCTGACCTAATCCCATTTATTCCTCTCCATTGAAACTCTCCCACCCCCTTCAGCTTCGTTTCACTTATTATTATTATTATTATTATTATTATTATTATTATTATTATTATTATTATTATTATTATTATTTTCAGTGAACTGGCCATATCCCACTGAGGCAGGGTGACCTAAAAACAAAAATGAAAGTTTTTCTTTTTAAATTTAGTAATTTATACAGAAGGGGTTACCAGCCCCTCGCTCCTAGCATTTTAGACCCCTCTTACTACATGTATCACTTTTGCTTGTATAGATGCATTTGGAAGTGGTCTTCATTAAGTCAGGTAGGTTTGTCAGGAAACGAAAGTGTTTCCTGACACAGACTTTAGTCTTATGATGACCCACTGCTGGAGCTTTTGATCATCTAACCAAGGCTTTCCACTGACTTATTGGTCCACCCCTTTAAAAATTATGGTTATAACCACTTTTTTTTTTTTTTTTTTTAAGTGATCTTCAGAAGTCATCATCAAAACTGATATCTTACACTAGCCTTCAATTTAAAACCAAATTGTTGGCAATTTTCACAAAATCTCCATCATTGCACTCCTGTTATTTATCTTGTTCACTATCTGAAGCTGTACACTGTACACCAACAATTACCAAACATTATCCTCTTTGCATAATTATAAATTGTACATCGGTTTTTCCTTAATTTTGTGCAGCTTGAAATAAGATTAGTGTTGCGAGTGAATTTAATACAGTACCAAAGTGTTATTGCATTAATGCACAAGATGAGCAAAATAAAACTTTTTAAGACCTATCACAAAAATAAGAGAACTGAGCTCTGTATACTGTACTTACTAAGATCATTGCTTGTTTTTACCTACCAAAATATGCAGTATGTACATACTAAGGTAGAGGCACATGTCGGCACTTAAAGAGATGATAAAGGGCTTGGTTTAGCATCTGGCCCAGCCGAGAGTGAAGCTACATGTAAGGTACCATGCTCCAATAAGAATTATGCAATATGAGAGGCAAGGTTATGAGAGTTTTCAGTTCTGAATTGCAGATTATTGAAGTTGTTTTGTAAGATGAATGACATGCTCACCTGAGACATGAAAATGTACTTTGTTGTCTGCACTTCAATCTTGGTATAGGAATTTAGTTTTTATTAACCCTTCAAGTGCCAATGATGTGAATTCCTGTCGTACACCTGCCATTTTCACATGGGTGGCCTACACAGCAAAATGAGTATGCACAGTAGGTGTGTCCTGTTGAGACAAAATCACATTCTGCCAAGAAAAATAAATGCTTCAGTTTTAGAAGAACAAATTAATTTTTTTTTCAAGATTTGGTGGATCATACAGTAGGTTTATTTTTTTGTCCAGCAGCACTTTAAGGTTTAATAAAACATATAACCTTGATTGTTTAATTAGAACATAATTCTTCATTCAAATATTCAGGTGAACTGTGACAGATGAAATAGAAGAAATGGCAGTCAAAAGTGTGGAGTGTCTTGCTAAGAAACAGTGGCTCAAGAAACACCTTCTGTCCTTTAAAACTCTCAGCCTGGTTGTGCTCTCCGTGCAAACCTCAACAATGGTCTTGCTTCTTCGTTACAGCCGTACTCCAACTCATTCTAACCATCACCCATATATTATCACCACAGCTGTTCTCTTATCTGAAGTTCTTAAGCTTGGACTTTCCTTAGGATTTTTACACATTGAATCTGGTAAGTGATCATTACTTGAACATTTATATAGAATATTTGTAGAATATTTAGTATCGAAGACAATACACTCAGACCACAACATATTAGAGGTACAGACATGTGTATGTGCAGGGCTCCTAACCAGCAAAAAGGTGACCACTTATGAAGGTGCCTTCACCAATTTCAACTTCAATAGCAACAACATACAGTGGGATCAAGTCAACCATGGCCTAAATGAAACAAGCTAGGAAAGATATCCTAAACAACACAGATCCAAACCTTTATAATAATAATAATAATGAGGATAGACTGGATATCAGATTGGAAGGAGAGAGTAAGGTGGAAGTGAATGTATTTAGATATTTGGGAGTGGACGTGTCAGCAGATGGGTCTATGAAAGATGAGGTGAATCATAGAATTGAAGAGGAGAAAAAGGCAAGTGGTGCACTGAGGCGTCTGTGGAGACAAAGAATTTTATCCATGAAATCAAACAGGGGAATGTATGAAAGTATAGTTATAACAATGTTCTTGTATGGGTGTGAGGAGAAGGCTGGAGGCAGTGGAGATGTCGTGTGTGATGGCAGTGTGTAGTGTGAATATAATGCAGAGAATGTGTAGTTTGGAAATTAGGAAAAGGTCCAGAATTACCAAAATTATTATCCAAGGGCTCAGGAGGGGTTACTGAGATGGTTTGGACATGCAGAGAGGATCTAATGAAATAGAATGACTTTGAGAGTGTATGAATCTGTAGCGGAGGGAAGGCGGGGTAGGGGTTGGCCTAGGAAAGGTTGGAGGGAGGAGGTATGGGAGGTTTTGCATACGAGGGGCTTGGTCTTCCAGAAAGCATGCGTGAGCATGTTAGATAGGAGCAAATGGAGACAAATGGCTTTTAGAACTTGGCGTGCTGTTGGAGTGTAAGCAAGGTAACATTTATGAAGGGATTCAGGGAAACCGGCAGGTTGGACTTGATTCCTGGAGATGGAAAGTACAGTGCTGGAACTCTGAAGGAGTGCAAGCATGCCTCTGGCAAGACAGTGATGAAGTGAATGATGATGAAAGTTTTTCTTTTTCGGGCCACCCTGCCTTGTTGGGAAACGGCCGATGTGTTAATAAAATATAAATAATAATAATAATTTTATTTCAGCATGATACATGTTTATACAAAGGAATATAACAATTGAGTGTACATACCAAAAGCCCCTTTATGTGCAGAGCATTTTGGGCAAACTTAAGATTAATAAGGAAATAATATTGCAGTAATTTTGTACATGCGGTCATTAGGTGAGTTACATTGAATACAAGAGAACTGAAATACAGTGGAACCCCAAATATCGGCAGTTGCATTTATCGGCCAAATCATATTTAGGCCGGTTTTGGGGCGGAAATTTTGTGCCAGTGTCTTGCAAATCAGCCGTATTATATGTGTCAGCCCGCCTCCCGCTGGGACGCCATGCGTAGGTGAGTCAGTCTCCCTGTGTCTCTTGGTGAATGAGCATATACTCCTCGCATTCATCCAAACATTTCCTTAAAATCCATTGGTTTTTGTGCTTATTTATTAACCCTTTGACTGTCATTCTATGTCGAAAATTTTTTGGAAAAAACAAAAATTTCTTATGAAATGATAGAGAATCTTTTTCCGGTGGTAATGACACCAAGAGTGTGAAATTTGGTCGAAAACTCACGGAATTACGCTTCCGCGAAGTTAGCAGTCTTGGCGACATATATGCATCGGCGATTTTGCCGACTTTGAGACCTGTTTTCGGCCAATTCTATTGTTCCAGTTGACCAAACTCATAGCTATTTCTTTAGAACTCCATTTTTTTTCTATCAGTTGAGTACAAGAAACCACCCATTTACCGATTTTGAACTACCCAGTAGTGGTCAGAAATTGGCAATTTGGCCAATTGCACGCAAATTAAAGAAGATGCCAATTTCAAAACAGGGTCCAGAATAAACAGTGTAGACATTCTTGGCACTAAAATAACATATCCTCTGTTCATTAGTCACGTCTCTAGGCCTCTCTTATACAGTGGTCCCTCGTTTTTCGTAATTAATCCGTTCCTGGAGCCGTTACTATAAACGAAATTTACGATTTACGAATCAATTTTCCCCATAAGAAATAATGTAAATACAATTAATCCATTCCTGACACCCAGAAGTATTAAAACAAAAAAATTTTTTACATGAAATATACATGTAGTACATAAACAATACAATGGGAAATGATGAATGAAACAGCATAACACTTACCTTTATTGGAGATTCTTCTTAGTGTATGGGAGACTGGAGGAGGAGAGAGAGTGGACTGTTTATAGTTTGGAAGGGGAATCCCCTTCCATCAACACCTCAGGTGCCAATTGCTTTTCTGGGGTTGCTTGTCTTCTCTGTTTCTTAATGCCACTAGGACCACCTTGAGAGTCAATGGAGTCCTGTCTTGCAAAATAACTGTGGAGAGAGCTCTGTTTCTGGCGTCTCTTTAACACTTCCCTAAAATGGCCCAAGACTTTGTCACTGTACATGTTGCCAATATAGCTTGCAACAACCTTGTTAGGGTGATGTTTCTCCATAAAGCTTTCCATCTTACCCCACATAGTAAAAATCTCTTTAATTTCTGAAGAAGGCACCTTCTTCCATCTCTCTTCCTCCTCCTCTGCAGCAAGATTCTGAGCTGCGATGTGTTGCTTTTCCTGCTGAAGCTCTTGCAGCTCCTCAGTGGTGAGCTCTTCGTTGTGGTCTCCCACCAATTCTTCCACATCCTCCAAACTCACATCCAACCCCATGGAACTCCCCAGTGCCACAATTGATTTTACAACAGACATAGGCTCATCAGGGTCAGTCCCAAACCCTTCAAAATCCCTCTTGTCGACACAATCTGGCCACAATTTTCTCCAGGCAGAGTTCAAAGTCCTGGTAGTCACTCCCTCCCAAGCCATACCTATAAGGGAGGATGCTGAAGTGTTCTCTACAAAATTCCCTTAGGGTCAAGTGAGTGTCTGGTCACAGTCAAGCACCTGTGAAACATTGCTTTTGTGTAGAGTTTTTTAAAGTTTGCAATGACCTGCTGGTCCATGGGCTGGAGGAGAGGAGTGGTATTCGGGGGCAAGAACTTTACTGTGATGAACCCAAACTCCTCGAAAATTAGGTCATCCAAGTTTGGAGGATGAGCAGGTGCATTGTCCATTACTAGTAGGCACTTGAGATCGAATTTCTTTTCCTGGAGATACTCCTTCACACTAGGGCCAAACACTTCATTGAACCACTTGACGAAAATTTCCCTCGTGACCCATGCCTTACTATTAGATTTCCAAAACACACACAATTTACTCTTCATAACATTGTTTTTCCTGAACACTCTGGGATATTCTGAATGGTACACTAGTAATGGCTTCACTTTGAAATCCCCACTAGCATTAGCACAGAACATTGCCTTTTCCTCTTGTGTAATGAAGGTCCTCTTTGGCATTTTTTTCCAAAAGAGGCCTGTTTCGTCACAATTGAACACTTGTTCAGGTTTCAGTCCTTCAGCCTCTATGTACTCCTGGAATTCATGCACATATTTTTCAGCCGCCTTGTGGTCCGAACTGGCAGCCTCACCATGCCTTACCACACTGTGTATGCCAGTACAGTTCTTAAATCTCTCAAACCAGCCTTTGCTGGCCTTAAGTTCACTCACATCACCACTATTTGCAGGCAATTTCTTTACCAAATCTTCATGCAACTGCCTAGCCTTTTCACAAATAATTGAAGTCATAAGAGTATCTCCTGCTAATTGTTTCTCATTTATCCACACCAATAATAATTTCTCAACCTCTTCCAGTACTGGTGATCTCATTTTTGTCAGCATAGTTACTCCCTTTGCAACAACAGCATCCTTGATTTCCTTTTTCTTGGCCACTATGGAACATAAGGTTGTGTAGGGGTTCTTATACATCCTGGACAATTCAGCCACACTTGTACCACTTTCATATTGTTCAATGATGGTTTTCTTAAATTCAATCGTATTTCTCACCCTCTTTACCACAGGCTTGGCACTAGGAGCTTTCTTTGGAGCCATGGTAGCTTATTTAGTACTTGCAAGCACTAAAATAAATGGAATATTATGAAATATTTCGCTGGAGCACGTGAGGGGACCTTCGCTCACTGATAAATAATGCCACACTGGCTGCCACCCTGGCCCACGCCGTGCGTACGCGTCCCGGACGAACTACGACTCGCGAGTCAACCTATGAAAAGCGAGTCCATGTTTATACGAGAAGACCCCTATGATTGGCAAATTTTACAATTGCCGAGATCTACGAAAAGCGAGGGACCACTGTATAACTATTGCTTTCTATTTTGATTTTTTATTCATACAAAAAAATACAAAATTTACTGTTATGCAAACTACTGCATTATTGTAAAAATGGTATAAATAATATCAGTGAACTAGTGAAAGAATATTAGACTCCCCAGTTGAAGTGTATTGGACGTGTAGTGTAATTTGCTTACTCCTGAACATTGGTAAAAATCGAACATTTCCGCTACTTTGAGCTCAATTTCAAGGTCATTTTCATCGTGAGAGTAATCAAAATCGTCTCTCTTCCTGTAATATGTTTTCCATTTTATCACCTGAGACCATGAAAACGAGAATACAACGATATATACTATACGAAAATACACCTCAAAGTCGGCATTTTCATCCAAAAAAACGGTCATAGTTTTTTTTTCTCATTATGCACTGCGTGCTGCAGGATCTTTTTTATGTGGTGCACACTGACCACACAGACCCATTCTCTCACATGTGGGCCTACCAGCTTTCTCCCGCTTGATTTGAAGCCGCTAGAATTTACGTGTATAAATACGTCAGAAGCAGTGGCACGTAAGATGTACATGTATGACTGAAACAGTCAAAGGGTTAAGTATGACTGTGAAATAAGCCACCATGGGCCCAATGGAAGATGTGGAGAGAGGCAGGGAGTGTAGCAGGCAGGCAGGGAGTGTAGTAGGGAGTGTAGGAGGAAGGCAGGGAGTATAGCAGGCAGGGAGGGAAGTAACCCCAGAGAGGGCTTTGATACCTGAAGTCCTTATGGAGGGGGATTTCCCTTCCAGTCAAAAACAGTCCTCCCTCTCTCCTCCCTGTCTTCCATAAGCCAACAAGAACATTCAATAAAGGTATGTAATAGTGATTTAAATGTTCATTTATTTATTTTATTTAGTTTTCATTGTTTTGTGTACGTAAAACTATAATTAATCTTTAAAAAATGTATTTTTTGTTAATATTTTTGGGTGTCTGGAACAGATTTTTTTTTTTTTTTTTTTTTTTTTTTCTAACAAGTCGGCCGTCTCCCACCAAGGCAGGGTGACCCAAAAAGAAAGAAAATCCCCAAAAAGAAAATACTTTCATCATCATTCAACACTTTCACCTAATTGTATTTACATTAATTCTTATGGGAAATATTACTTTGAATTTAGGCCGACCTTCTGGAACAGATTATGGCCGATATTCAGGGTTCCACTGTATTCTGTTAGTTCAAGCTAAAGCTATATGGCTTTAATAAGTTTGGGAGAGAAGAATTACAGCTTTGATTATTAACCTAAGGTGGACACAATGGAATGATTAACATTTGAGAGGATTACAGATATTGAGATTATATACTGATTATAATGTTTTTACCTATGTTCATGATATTGAGCAAATGTATGTACAGTAGGACCCCACTTATATGGCAGGTTAGGTTCCAGGCTACTGCCGGAAAGCAAATATCACCGGAAAGCAGAATGCCATTTTTTCCACTTATAAATGCAATAAATGTCAGTTAAGTTTACACTAACATATATTAAGTTAGCAATAGAACTAGGCATTAAAAAACAATAAAAATTAAAATACTCACACAGTACACTCATTATTTACCTCAAAATATTTGTAGTCTTAATGTAGGGCAAAAGGCGAGTAGTATTTACTATAAGAAGTCTGGTGTGATAGCCCTCCTGGCCACCCCACTCACACATAATATTCTACGACAATGCTTAACCCTTTCAGGGTTGAGAGGCCCTCTCCTAAACTTGTTCTCAGGGTCGAAAATTTTCGAAAAAAAAAAAAAAATTTCTTATGAAATGATAGAGAATCTTTTCCCAATCATAATAACGCCAAAAGTATGAAATTTGATGGAAAACCTATGGAATTATGCTCTCACGAAGTTAGCAGTCTCGATGATGTTCACACATTGGCGATTTCGCCCACTTTGAGCCCTATTTTCAGCCAATTCCAGTGTACTAGTCGACAAAAACCATAACTATTTTGCTAGAAATCCATGTTTTTCTATTGAACGAGTACAAGAAATCGCCCATTTACTGATTTCAGTTATCTAATAAAGTGGTCAGAAATTGGCAGGTTTGCCAATTTCACACAAATTTCAAAAGATGCCAATTTCCAAATAGGGTCCAGAATAAACAAGACAGATATTCCTGGCACTTAAATAACATTTCCTCTGTTCATTAGTCATGTTCCCAGGCTCCTCTTACATTTCTTTTGCTTTCCACTTTGAATTTTTATTCTCACAAAAAATAGTAGATTTACTGTTATGCAGAGTACTGCATTAGTGTAGAAATTGTATAAATAATATCAGCGCACTTGTGAAAGAATATTAGACTCACCAGTTGACATGTATTGGAGGTTCCACTGTATTCTGTTTTTTTCAGTATACAGTACACTACTGTATAAACATTTAAAAATATACCAGAAATGTTATAAATGGTGCAGAGGTGACATTAAAACAACCATTATAGTATGCTCCTCACTTAGTGACTAATTCGTTTAATAATGTGGTCTTAGGAACGGAACTCTGTCGTTAAGTGAGGAGAGGCTGTATTGCACTGCTACACATCCATTGTCCTTCAGTGTTTGTTTAAAAGCCTCTTCCCTTTTTTAGTGTTAGCTGTTTTGTGAATTTTTGTGTGTTATCCCAATTTATATACTTAATTTTTAGTTTTACATTTTGAGCATTGTCTTGTTAATTTTTATTTACAGAATAGAAAATAGTGGTTATTTCAGATCCTGAATGTTCTCTAAAACTCATCTTAATTATCATATATTTTTTGCAGGTAAGGTGATGAAAAAAACTATGACACGACTGTATAAAGATGTAGTTGTCAATGTTTGGGAGACACTCAAATTAGCTGTTCCAGCCTTTTTGTATGTTGTTCAGAACAACTTACTTTTCATTGCTCTCACCAATCTTGATGCTGCCACTTACCAGGTTAGCAAGATTCCTAGTCATTCAAGCATACCTCTGTTAAATATGTTGAGTGTGCCTAACTGTAGAATATACTTAGTGTTATATGCATGATTCATATTAAATAAAAGGCACATTTTCTTCAGGTTACCTACCAGTTGAAGATCTTGACAACTGCCATTTTCTCCTGGGTGATGCTTGGCAAGCGTCTTGCACCCATCCACTGGCTCTCTCTCTGTCTGCTTATGCTGGGGGTTTCACTTGTTCAGGTATTTTTTTACATATTCATTTTTGATGCATTGTGAAGTCAAAGATAATTTGCTTAACCCATTAACTGTCCAAAGGTATATCTACATTCTCTTGCCCAGCGCTCCGAATATTTTGAAAAAAAAAAAATAATTTTCTATTAAAATAAAGAAGACATTTTTCTATGTGTAATAGGGTAAAAAAAAAAAATTTTAGGGTCAGTACTTAGCTTGATATAAGACTGCGAAGTTGACACTGGATGCTCACATGACAGCAACATAGAGTCCTGCCATTTGCAGAAGTGTTGCCAATATTCCTTTTTTTTTTCTCTCATTTTTTATTTTTCATTTATATAATTTTTATGCTCTGATAATTACAATTTGTAGTAGTACTTGTGATTTCATAGCCAGTCTTTATTCTGACACTAATATTAGGTACTGAAATAGTACTCAAATAGTCACAAACACACTGACAGGTGAACATTTTCACCTGCCTTGATCACATACTGTTGTCTAGAAATATATACGTACGTAGTACAGTGGTACCCCGAGTTTTGGCCATAATTCATTCCAGAAGGCTGTTCGAGTGCCGTTACTGAATAAATTTGTTCCTGTAAGGAACCCAAAAATACACTTACAAAAGCACTTACAATAATACACTTACATAATTGTTCGAGTTGGGAGCTGTTCAAAACTCGGGATATCACTGTATTTATAGGTCCCAGCAATGTTTTAGACACACTGGAGTATATATGAAACTCCTTGAAGTATGGTGTAAGATGAGTGTCACTCCACTGCAGACAGTGCATCAGTGGAGTGACACTTGATGATTGATTGTGCACTGCCTTGGCTTTATTTATTTTCACTGTTACACATAAATGTGTCTGCCTTTCTGCCTAGCTTTCTCTGTTTATCTCTGTCTCTGCTTATCTGTCTTTCTGTCTTGCTGTCTCTCTGTCTGCTTGTCTCTCTTTCTGTCTCAGAGAAAGAGAGCCACTCATGAACCAACAGGTATTACACACGATGCAGTCATCATGTCTGATTCCTGAACAAGTGAAAATACGTATTACTTGCCAGTCATGCTTATTATGCATTATATCTACAAGCACAGTATAGCACTTTGTCTGGATTTTTTGGGGTTATCCTAGGTAATTTACACTATGTATAATTATATTTAATGTGTACCTGTGAGATAGAGACAGAGACTGGGATAGATACAGACAGATGGAGATAGAGACAGCCAAAGTCAATCAGCCATCCAGTCAGCCTGCTGAACACATATTACATGTTCCACAATTGTTTCTCTTTATTTAGGACATAGGTTATAGGATATTCTGGCAGGATGACACTACCAGTGGTACCAAAATTGAAAGGATGTTGCACAAATTCTGCACATGGGTTAGTATTGAGGTTTTTGACATTTCTTCAACCACTTGTGGCCACATCCACCTCAAAGCCACTAAACTCAGTGTCAGCATCACTTTCCTTTTAAAAAGGGAGTGTTAATAGGACATGACATCAGTGAATCCCTGGTGTTTGCCACACTGTTTGCTTTAGCTGACGCTCAGTTGAACTGGTACTCTCACAAGGCACTAGTGGTCCCAGATTATTTTAATACTACGCACACTGAGTGTTAAGACCCAGTCTGTGCTGACCAGGCATCTCAGGCCAATTGTGCCAAATTTGGAAGAAGGTAGGTAGTAGGTTGGTAGAGAGCAACCATCCAGGGACGTACTACTGTCCTGCCAGGTGACTGTGAAACAGAAACCTGTAACTGTTTTACATGATGGTAAGATTGCTGGTGTCTTTTTTCTGTCTCATAACACACTGGATAACAGGTATATCTTGCTACTTCTACTTACACTTAGGTCACACTACACAGGCATGCATATGCCTGTGTGTATATATATATATATATATATAATATTATATATATATATATTATATATATATATATATATATATATATATATATATATATATATATATATATATATATATATATATATATACAGTGGACCCCCGGTTAACGAACTTTTTTCATTCCAGTAGTATGTTCAGGTGCCAGTACTTACCGAATTTTTTCCCATAAGGAATATTGTGAAGTAGATTAGTCCATTTCAGACCCCAAACATACACGTACAAATGCACTTACATAAATACACTTACATAATTGGTCGCATTTGGAGGTGATCGTTAAGCGGGGGTCCACTGTATATATATATATATATATATATATATATATATATATATATATATATATAAATATATATATATATATATATATATATATATATATATATAATATATATATATATATATATATATATATATTTTTTTTTTTCAACAAGTCGGCCGTTTTCCCACCGAGGCAGGGTGACCCAAAAAAAAGAAAGAAAATCCCCAAAAAAAAATACTTTCATCATCATTCAACACTTCACCACACTCACACATTATCACTGCTTTTGCAGAGGTGCTCAGAATACAACAGTTTAGAAGCATATACGTATAGAGATACACAACATATCCCTCCAAACTGCCAATATAATATATATATATATATATATATATATATATATATTTTATAAATTTATATATATATATAATATATATAATATATATATATATATATATATATATATTTTAAAAATATATATATTTTATATAAATATATATATATATATTATATATATATACACACACCTACCCTCCGACTTACGACAGAGTTCGGTTCCGAGAAACCGGTCGTAAGTCGAACTTTACTACTGAATATCAACAAAACATTTTTGTAATGACTATTTTATTGTTTTATTTTGGTATTTCACGTTTTACTTTACTTTTTATGCTGTTAGTACTGTATTCTATACTGTAAGGTTTAGGATAAACACTTTGTACAACACAAATAGTTGTTTATTTCCCAGAAATTTGGCATAAAAAACACGGTCGTAAGTCGAGTGGTCGTAAGTCGAGCAGGTCGTAAGTCGGATGGTAGGTGTGTGTGTGTGTGGGAGACGACCGACTTGTTGAAAAAAAAAAAAAGAAAAAAAAAAAAAAAAAAAAATATATATATATATATATATATATATACATGTAGGACTTGAGTCCTGGAGATGGGAAGTACAGTGCCTGCACTCTGAAGGAGGGGTGTTAATGTTGCAGTTTAAAAACTGTAGTGTAAAGCACCCTTCTGGCAAGACAGTGATGGAGTGAATGATGGTGAAAGTTTTTCTTTTTCGGGCCACCCTGCCTTGGTGGGAATCGGCCAGTGTGATAATAAAAAAAAAAATGTATATATATATATGTACATGTTTATAGAGGGGCAACTGATATATCGGATCATTATTTAGTTGTAGCTACAGTTAGAGGAAGGTGGCAACAACAAGTAAGAGGGAGGTGAAAGTGTATAAACTAAGGGAGGAGGAACTTCGGGTGAGATATAAGCGACTATTGGCAGAAAGGTGGGCTAGTGCAAAGATGAGTAGTGGGGGGGTTGAAGAGGGTTGGAATAGTTTTAAAAATGCAGTATTAGAATGTGGGGCAGAAGTTTGTGGTTATAGGAGGGTGGGGGCAGGAGGAAAGAGGAGTGATTGGTGGAATGATGAAGTAAGGGTGTGATAAAAGAGAAAAAGGTAGCTTATGAGAGGTTTTTACAAAGTAGAATGTTATAAGAAGAGCAGAGTATATGGAGAGTAAAAGAAAGGTAAAGAGGGGTGGGGAGAGAGTGCAAAAGGAGAGCAGATGATAGAGTGGGAGAGGCACTGTCAAGAAATTTTAATGAAAATAAGAAAAAATTTTGGAGTGAGTTAACAAGTTAAGAAAGCCAGGGAAAAAAATGATTTGTCAGTTAAAAAACAGAGTAGGGGAGTTAGTAGATGGGGAGATGGAGGTATTAGGTAGATGGCGAGAATATTTTGAGGAACTTTTAAATGTTAAGGAAGAAACAGAGGCAGTAATTTTCATGCACTGGTCAGGGGGGTATACCACTTTTAGGAGTGAAGAAGAGAAGAATGTAAGTGTGGGGGAGGTACGTGAGGCATTACGTAAAATGAAAGGGGGTAAAGCAGCTGGAACTGATGGGATCATGACAGAAATGTTAAAAGCAGGGGGGGATATAGTGTTGGAGTGGTTGGCACTTGTGTTTAATAAATGTATGAAAGAGGGGAAGGTACCTAGGGATTGGCGGAGAGCATGTATAGTCCCTTTATATAAAGGGAAAGGGACAAAAGAGACTGTAAAAAATTATAGAGGAATAAGCTTACTGAGTATACCAGGAAAAGTGTACGGTAGGGTTATAATTGAAAGAATTAGAGGTAAGACAGAATGGAGGATTGCGGATGAGCAAGGAGGTTTCAGAGTGGGTAGGGGATGTGTAGATCAAGTGTTTACATTGAAGCATATATGTGAACAGTATTTAGATAAAGGTAGGGAAGTTTTTATTGCATTTATGGATTTAGAAAAGGCATATGATAGAGTGGATAGAGGAGCAATGTGGCAGATGTTGCAAGTATATGGAATAGGTGGTAAGTTATTAAATGCTGTAAAGAGTTTTTATGAGGATAGTGAGGCTCAGGTTAGGGTGTGTAGAAGAGAGGGAGACTACTTCCCGGTAAAAGTAGGTCTTAGACAGGGATGTGTAATGTCACCATGGTTGTTTAAATATTTTATAGATGGGGTTGTAAAGGAAGTAAATGCTAGGTGTTCGGGAGAGGGGTGGGATTAAATTTTGGGGAATCAAATTCAAAATGGGAATTGACACAGTTACTTTTTGCTGATGATACTGTGCTTATGGGAGAGTCTAAAGAAAAATTGCAAAGGTTAGTGGATGAGTTTTGGAATGTGTGTAAAGGAGAAAGTTGAAAGTGAACATAGAAAAGAGTAAGGTGATGAGGGTGTCAAATGATTTAGATAAAGAAAAATTGGATATCAAATTGGGGAGGAGGAGTATGGAAGAAGTGAATGTTTTCAGATACTTGGGAGTTGACGTGTCGGCGGATGGATTTATGAAGGATGAGGTTAATCATAGA